GGCATGCATTTTTGGTGTTATTTATATTCCTAATCGAAGAGTGTGAATTTAATGCAAACACGATTTGTAGATCTGAAGTATGCACTTTGAAGGCAAACAAGACGTGTGGAGTATGCATTAAAAATGGTCGCATGCACGGATTTGTATCGCTACTTACAAGTCTGCCAGTACCTTGTATTGGCTGCTAGAGGGTTTGTATACTTTGTCAATGGGATGTTTTGCCGATGATCGTCGGTACCGTGGGGATAGTATGTACTGTGATAGCCCATCACATGGGTGACAATTTCGTGGGGAATTCCGAATTTGCTGCAACTTTGCAACTGCGGGCGAGGGTACCCACTGCTTGTTCTTAGACTGCTATCCTCGCAAAAACTTACGTGTAGGACTCGAACAACAATCTAACGACGACTGATCACACTACTGTCTGGCGTTAATATATTGTTTCACGACTTGAACACTTGAATCCCTCGACTGGATTAACATCCACTTACGTCGTCCGTCGAGATCATCAATATTTAGTCACCTTGTCGTTCCAAAGTGGTACGTTGTTCTATTGCATCTTACAATCGGTTTTACAATCTATCGACAATCCTTGTCAACCTGTCATCAGCAGGCTATGTCGGATGGCCAGGTTTTACGTTCAAGTTGGGAGAAGCTGTCCCACGTCTTTGTCAAGGGCGCTGAGTATGATTCTCGTGAATGCCGGCCCCATCCGAGACGGTTGGAAGGTTCTTGGGTAGATCTTACCAACTGCGTCCACGCATTATTGGACAACCAAGAGAAGAACCAACTTATTTGGCTTCATGGGGCGGCGGGTGTCGGAAAGTCTGCTGTTGCGTTCAATATAGCTGAAAGGATGAAAGGTCTGAATATAACAGAGGAGACGAAGCTCGAAAAGCGGCTCGCGGGATCTTTCGTTTTCTCGCTCAAACACACGAAACGCTCTACGACTGGATATGTTTTTGCGACATTCGCCTACCAGCTTGCGAGTGCTTATCCTTCCATCCGGCAGGATGTGACAAGATGCATCCAGAACAATCCAGCCCTTCTAGACCCCGATAAGTCTCTTCGCGACCAGATGGAGAACCTCTTTCTCCAACCTCTCCGGAAGCTTCGATTGAGACTGCGCGGGTGTCTACCTTTGGTATTCGTTGTCGATGCCCTTCATGAGTGTACATCCAAAGCTGAGCTTGCCGATTTCATCACCCTACTCGCCCAAGTTCTTCGCGAACCTGATTTACCCGTGGCCCACATCCTGCTCACGAGTAATTCGCAAACGCATATCCGTGAAGCTTTTCAGAAGGCAGAGGTGCGCCCCCTGCTGTGTGAAATACGAGCGAGTACATCTGGCGAGATTCTCGCTATGGACGTAGCATCCCGTGATTCACGCGTAACTGGAGACTTGCCACACATCCTCGCTATAAACACGGAAGTCCGTAACGCGTGCATAACTGGAGACTTGCTAACCGCTGAAGAGCTGTTAACGCAAGAAATTCAAGACAGCGGTGTCAACAACAACCAGTCCTACGCAAATCGGTCATTTATTATGGCGCGGAAACATGACTGGGACCACGCGCTTCAAGACGCACTTAAGGTGCGATTCGTTGATCTATCATCATAGTGATGCAGTCCGTCAGTCTTGACCCCTCGTTGACAGGTTATATCTCCAAGGGCATTGCCCTGTGCGGAAAAAATGACCTCCAGGAGGCGAAAAGGGCATTTGACCTCGCATCCGTGTTCATGAAAAGTGATTCAGAGACCACTCTTCTTCTCTTGATTAAGGCAAGGAGGTCAATTTCTTCTTGAATATTCCTTGCTTCAACACAGTCTTCTTCAGGCTGTTGCGCTTTTCAATGCAAATCAGCATGAGGATGCAATGCTGCGGGTTCAAGGGTTGGCTGCTATTTGTCCCAAATCCGACACCCTTGCGTGTCGTGTCGTGGAAGTGAGTTTTATGTGTTCTGTGACTTCTGCCGAACGCATGTTCGTGCGTGACACCGATTGTCCTAACTCTGCACGCCAGGCATATTTATGCGTCCACCTGGGTTCCAATGCCTTAAATGGCGGGCGTCACAGCGAAGCTGCTGACCACTTCACTGCAGCTGTCAAGGCCAGCGCTTTCACATCGCGGTCGGCCATTCATTCCAAATACCAAGACTTTGTGGTGGTACGTGACACGATGCAGCCATGAGTTATTGTTCATGCCTAACGGCGTGCTTTATCTAGCTCTTCGGGTGGGACCTCAAGTCCTTCTGGGAAAATGCAAACCAGAAAAAGTGCGATGCACTTCTTCGTGCAGGTAGGCTTCGAGAAGCAATTGAATCGTACCGATACATGATGGATATGAGTGACGAAGCTATGAAGGCGAGCTGCCTTGAATGGTCTACTGGCAAGTCTTCATTATTGTCGCCTGGGCTGCAATCCTCACGTGCATATAATTTAGCTTTCATGCGAAAATGCAAAGCGCTCTATGCTGCGAGTGGAGTTGCTGAGCTAGCTGCGAGTGGAGATGCTGCCTTGGCTGAGAAGGACTACGACCGGGCTATTGAACTATACTCGGCGGCGATCGAGTTGGACTCTGCAACCGATACCATCTTTGCAAATCGAAGTAAGGCGAGGTTGTTGAAAATGCTATGGGAGGATGCACTTCTCGATGCGGAAAAGGTGCGATGGCATCTGTTTCACAATAGGCCATGCTCATTTCAGATATGCACAGGTCATCGAACTCAAGCCTTCGGATTATCTTGGATACCAGCTGAAGCATGAGGCGCTTCATGGCGCGCAATGTTATGACGAAGCCATCGAGGCTTTCCAAATCATGTTGTTAAAACTGGATGAGGCTCCCGACGCGCAAGTACAAAGTAAGCTCCGAATAATACATATATCAAAATGTTCGACTTTTCGTCCAGATCTGCACCAACACTACATCAGTCCATTTGAAGCAGACAGTGCTATTCGACAAGTCCTTCATGCTCACCTCGACAATGCCCCACTTCGTCTACTCAACACATCCAATGGGCGCTTATGTGATCGAGAGGCCCAGACACATGCTTTCAAGACGAGTGCAGAATACAAGGAGCTGTTAGCATCTATAATAAATAATGCAGACCTCCAATTGGAGCGCATCCAAGACGTGGTGGCCAAGTACTTCCGTTGGGTCATGCTATCACATAGGTGGGGAGAAAAGGAGCCGCTGCTGCACGACATCGAAGACAAGGTCGTGTACGAGTTGGATTCAGTCGACAGCATCACGAAGTTGCAGTCATTCTGCGAAATTACTCGTGATGCGGGGTTCCTGTGGGCGTGGATGGACACGTGTTGCATTGACCAGAAAAACAATGTCGAGCTCCAAAAATCGGTCAACTCCATGTTTGTTTGGTATCACAACTCAGCGCTCATAATCGTCTATCTGTCTGACGTTCTACCTTCGTCCAAGTCTTGCACGCTAGCCAGGAGTGCTTGGAATAAGAGAGGATGGACGGTCCAAGAATTCTTGGCTCCTAAAGTCATTCTTTTTTATCGCCAGGATTGGACCCTATACCTCGACGACCACTCTACCAACCACAAGGAGTCTACCGCAATGATGCAGGAGTTGGGAGATGCCACTGGCATAGATTTACGGTCCCTTGTCGCCTTCCGTCCAGGGATGATAAACCCTCGAGAGAAACTCCAATGGACATCGACACGTATCACCACGTTGCAGGAAGACATCGCGTACTCATTATTTGGCATCTTCGGTGTTCACCTACCCGTAATGTATGGCGAAAACAAACGAAACGCGCTCGGGCGGCTCTTGCAGGAGATTGTTGCTCGTTCAGGCGACGTCAGTGTGCTTGACTGGGTCGGGAAATCATCCGAATTCAATAGCTGTTTGCCAGCGGACATCACCTCGTATCAAGCCTCGCCATGGTTGCCATCTCTTTCCGAAGATGATATTCAGACATCGGTCTCATCGCTGCAAGATGCTGTGGTTGTAGAGATGGCTTCGGGATTGTACCGTGAGCTTGACTCCTTGAGGGCTGCTCGTTTCGCGCACTGCCGGCTGCATCTACCTTGCATGGTATTCCTCGTCACCGAAGTCAGAGGGAAGCCTGGTCAAAACCAGGGGGCCAATTTCACATATCAAGTCAAGGCGAAAGGGCTTCATGATTTGTTGGTCACCACGAAATACAGGCTGATCCAGTTTTGGCCAGGGAGATCCGCTCCACAAACATTCTATCTTGTTCGTCCATGGAATCGTGATCTCCTGGAGCTGCCCGACTTTGCGGAGCTTCCTGGCCAGGCGGAGCCTCCTTCTCCCGAAGCCTCGCAGAGTATGGAAGAATATTGGACCTCACCTAGGTCTTCGTTAGACGATATTCTTCCTGTGCCCCCCGGAGAAAAGGAAATGGTTGATTTGGAGTCTCAGTCACAAGCATTGCGATTGATTGTTCGCCTTGGACAGCCGTTTAGCGCATGTTTGCTAGCACAGCAACGCGGCGGAGAATACAAGAGAATTGCGTCAGATCATGTTATCGTTGCACAAGTCAAAGAGATGGCGTCTATTCGCGATATTATAGATGTCAGGACACTAGAGATATTGTAGTGTACACATTGTGGATGAAGGATACCTGACCCTGTGTTACATGTATGCGCCCACAATATTTGCATAATGCACCTGTACCCTGACCATCTTGAGATCTTCACAGTACTTATCCCCACCGATCCTAGAGTCCTACAGATGTTACCACGATTGGCACAGGCATGGCATGTACGTAGTACTCGGCTCGCGGCATGCACATCTGGGGAGAGCACAAACCACGTGTTCGTACACTCAATATGCCAGCCCTCACTCACTAGTTACTCGGCGCTCCCATGCTAGTCAATGATTATAAGGAAGGACTACCTCAGGGATGGGTAATGGAAACGGACTCGATTACGCGTGGATGCTAATATCTATTAAATATTATCTATGGTATATGTTACCAATGAAACAGCAAGCTGGCCTGCTCCCTTTTATGTCATAGCAATGCCAAAGTCGCCAACGCTCCTCCTATCTTCGCCTCGTCCAACACATCACGTATCTTCGCCTTGTCCTGCGCCCATGTTGGAGAGGCGATCCTGAATGCATCTCCAACGCGCGCATATGAGATGTCGCCCACACGCGCGACAGGCTTGAACTTTGTCAGGTCGATCACACCTCTCTGTGTGAGCATGTCTTTGCGCACGTGGATGTACTTGACGTGCGCGAGGATGAGCGTGCTGGTGTGCTCGCCTGTGACTCGGTGCGTGATATCGATGGATTTGTAGAGCTGTTGGGAGGCGGCGTGGTCAGCCAGCGAACGGGCTCGGTATGAAATGAAAATACCTCGCACTCCATGCTAAAAGCGCTTTCCTTGACGCGCGAGGCTTTTATTTGCACCTGAACACCTTGTTGTCAGCGCATATATCGTATCACAAAGGCGCATCCATACACATTTTTCCATTGTTAGACCGCTGAGACTCCATTCGTCGAAGCCGGGAGGAGAGTCTATGGCAGTTGCATTTGCACTCTCGATGAATGGCTCGCTGACGATGTTCACGCTGAATCCTTGGCTGTTCATCACATTCACCGCTGTGTCTTTGAGGCCGCCCAGGGCGTTGTTGTTGCATGCGAATGAGATGATAGGCGGGTAGGTCGTGACCTAGTATGGGAAGAGATTATTGAACCGATAAACGGACATGTTTCTTGTGAATTGCTCACTGTGTTAAACCAACTGGTGGATGCAAGCCAGGTAAGCGTACAGATCGCGTTAGATAATGGAAGTGTCTCTTACCTGTACGGTGCCAGGTTCTCTATGCCATCCTCGCTGATCGTGGACACGAATGCGATGGGACGCGGTACGATGCCCGAATTCAAGAGCTTGGTGATATCGCTGTCGATCGCGGTCACAATTGGGGCTGAACAATAGGTCGAGGAGTACGTACACCTTGTCTAATTCTGCTGTGTTATAGATTTTCCACCCAGCAGATTCGCCTGCAACCCAGTCTCTTCCGGCAGGAGTGGTGTCGACTCTCTGACCGTACGTCCATGACGGATTGGGTGATTGGGTGTAGGTGGAATAGGTGGTGGAATCGAATGGAGGGATGAACATCATGTTGATGGATTAGTTGAACTTAGATGGAAAGAGCGAGACTGGCCCTGGATTTATAGTTACATGGTTGCAGGTAAAGGCTGGTTTTCACATATACGAGGCCGATAGTGGATGTACGAGGCTGATAGCGCTGATAACAAGGAATCCGTGATGGTGTCCGACAGTCCGAGTAGATACTTGAAATTGCTTACTACAGCTTGCTTACTACTGGGCACGTGCAGAGTTTCTAACTTCGCGATGATCGCTATGCTGTGCGGCGCTGACACACCTTCTAATTAACCGCCGGCTCGGTGTCAATTCTGTCCACCACCGTCAAGGATTCGAATTCACACGACAAGAGCCTGCCTCTCCGCATCATCATCTTTGCAAGCATTCCGACTCTGAGTTGAAACCTCCCGGGCCCTCTATGGAAGCTTATGTGCCAGAGAGTTTGGAAATCTTGATAACGTGATGTGCGTCCGCAATGCGCATGACATGCAATTGGAGTCTGTCGGATTTAGACACAGACAATTGAGGTGCTTTCAGCGATGCATCTTCACGGGAGCGGCCGCCCAGAAGGAAATCTTGGCCAGTAACTGCGACAGCATGACTTGTTTCACCTTCTGATTCAAAGGACACTGTACTGACATTTTCAAGTAAGAGAGCACTCCTGCTTCCAATTCAGGAGACGGAATCCACAAACGACTAGCCACGACGAAGTAACAGCCTACTCCATCCGAATATCAAAATTGACGCTACAGGATGCCTCGTGACGCGTCAGTTATTATGCTATCACGGATATCGACTCAATTTGGCAATGTGGTATATCCTGGCATTGCTCGCGGGTACGCCATAGATATATCCCATTGCCAATTGCATTGAATCCCTCCAGGGGGTGAACTCCAGGTTTCTACGACATAATGGCAGACGGTGGTATCCCATTGGTAAAACCCCAATGAAACTAACAACAATGACATGTTCCTATAAGGTGAGTTTGCCCGCAATCAACACCATCTGATTGGGCGCTAGACCCTTCCTGACATTAGAATTTGTGGTCACAGTCGTAGTCATGGGCACAAATCATGGTTAGCGCGAGACAGCAATGACCTTGTTTACCATGGTCTCTAGCACTCATGGGGACTTCGTATGACTACGATTTATGTAATGTGCATATGCCAACTCTGACACTCAGGCCCTGGTGGCTCACACTTTCAACTGGCACTGACAAGCTCCTATTTTTATATCAATGTTGGAAGTGATATATTTGAATCACCAGAGAGTCGTGGTATGCACTAAAGGCCACCTGGACTCGGAGGTGCCGTCTGATCCATACCCCTCCTTAGACTATTCCATCCTCGACCGCTTCCCTGTCCTCCACAGAAGATCAGGAAGGTGCGAAAGTTTGGCTTCGCGCGTTCGAAGGCGCCAAAACCGTCCCGAAAAAATCGAACTTACTTTCTCTCGCAGTTCTGGTCCCGGAGGGGAGGTGCATTTATATTGTCGACTCTGTATCTCAAACTGAACATAATTTCTTTTCTCTGCCGCCGTGATGGATGCTGCCAAGAACTTCATAATATTACTAGCAAGTGTGGACACATTGACACCGAGCCGGCGGTCAAGAGGTGTGTCAGCACTGCACAGCATAACGGGGCGATCATCGCGCAGTTAAAAGCTGCACGTGCTCACAGCTATAGTAAGCAATTCAAAAGCAATTTCAAGTATCTACTCGGACTGTCGGACACCGTCACGGGTCCGTTGTTATCAGCGCTGTCAGCCTCGTAGATCCACTATCGGCCTCGCATATGTGAAAACCAGCCTTTACCTGCAACCATGTAGCTATAAATCCAGGGCTGGTCTCGCTCTTTCCATCCAACTAATCCACCAACATGATGTTCATTCCTCCATTCGATTCCACTACCTATTCCACTTACACCCAATCACCCAATCCGTCATGGACGTACGGTCAGAGAGTCGACACCACTCCTGCCGGAAAAGACTGGGTCGCAGGCGAATCTGCAGGCTGGAAAATCTATAACACAGCAGAATTAGACAAGGTGTACGTACTCCTCGACCTATTGTTCAGCCGCAATCGTGACCGCGATCGATAGCAATATGACCAAGCTCTTGAATTCGGGCATCGTACCGCGCCCCATCGCATTCGTATCAACGATCAGCGAGGAGGGCATAGAGAACCTGGCACCATACAGGTAAGACACGCTTCCATTATCTACTGCGCTCTGCACGCTTACCTGGCTTGCATCCACCAGTTGGTTTAACACAGTGAGCAATAAACAAAAAACATGTCTCTTCATCGGTTTGATAACTTGTTCCCATGTTAGGTCACGACCTACCCGCCTATCATCTCATTCGCATGCAACAACAATGCCCTGGGCGGCCTGAAAGACACAGCGGTGAATGTGATGAACAGCCAAGGGTTTAGCGTGAACATCGTCAGCGAGCCATTCATCGAGAGTGCAAATGCAACTGCCATAGACTCTCCTCCCGGCTTCGACGAATGGAGTCTCAGCGGTCTAACAAAGGAAAAATGCGTATGGATGCACCTTTGTGATACGATATATGCGCTGACAACAAGTGTTCAGGTGCAAATAAAAGCCTCGCGCGTCAAGGAAAGCGCTTTTAGCATGGAGTGCGAGGTAATTTTATTGCATTTCATGCCGAGCCCGTTCGCTCGCTGACCATGTGGCCTCCCAACAGCTCTACAAATCCATAGATATCACGCACCCAGTCACAGGCGAGCACACCAGCACGCTCATTCTCGCGCACGTCAAGTACATCCATGTGCGCAAGGACATGCTCACGCAAAGAGGTGTGATCGACCTGACAAAGTTCAAGCCTGTCGCGCGTGTGGGCGATATCTCATATGCGCGCGTTGGAGATGCATTCAGGATCGCCTCTCCAACATGGGCGCAGGACAAGGCGAAGATACGTGATGTGTTGGACGAGGCGAAGATAGGAGGAGCGTTGGCAACTCTGGCATTGCTATGACAGAACGAGGGAGGCCAGCTTGCTGTTTCTGTTACATATACCATAGATAATAATTAATAGATGTTAGCATCCACGCGTGGTCATGTCGGTTTCCATTACCCATTCCTGAGGTAGTCCTTCCTTATAATCATTGACTAGGAAGAGCGCCGAGTAACCAGTGAGTGAGGGCTGGCATATTGAGTGTACGAACACGTGGTTTGTGCTCTCCCCAGATGTACATGCGACGAGTCGAGCACTACGCACATGCCATACTTGCGCCATGGATCATGATAACATAGTCTAGGATCCATTGTCGGTGGGGTTATCGATGAATATGATAGCCCATACGTGGAGGCAAATATTCAACAATCTCGAGGGGAATTAATCGAATTTGCTGCCATTGTGTCGTCGAAGTTTGTGGTCCAACAACGCCGTGAAATGAAGGAGAGGTCGCCCTAAAAACATGAACACGCAACAACACAGCATGACGCGGTGGACGAAAAGAGCCATGACAGAACGCAACAACACAACATGACATCGCCGGCGATATCTCATGCTTATATATTGGAGATTATACATTGTAGATAGATAGACAGCGTCTACAGACAATGCATATATATGATGTCATGCAAGCGAGGCTCAACGCGAGACAGCAAGACGGCTTGCTATCATGCGTAGAATCGACGGCTTCCGACTCTTGAGTTCCTGTATGCATAGGTTAGCGATGGTTCGCGAAAATCATTGGAACTACAGACCTCCTGTGTCTTGAGTTTTTGCCCTTCGGACAAAACAATAAGGCAAGATCGCAGTCCTTTCAAACACCATTGTCTTTCAAGCCAGGAGAGAAGATAATTATTCCAGAACGACGTAAATGCATGGTCGAGCGTGTCGTCCCAGGGCTTCGGAACTCGCAAGAGATGAAAGGCCCAGTTTTGACATGCATAATTGAGAGCGTCAGAACCCGATGGATGTCGTGTGCGTGCTTGGTGTGCGAAAATTTCAAAGGTCAACATGCTGTGGATGATCTCCATGTCTGGTAGAAAATTGTCTTCCGTGAACTCCGGCTGGGCCAGGTGGGCCTGCGGGCCTAAGCCCTGGCCCTCCACATCACTACCAGTGAACGCCAGAAACACAGGAAGCAACAACAAATCCGACATGTTCTTGAGTATCTGGATTACTTGGAATGTTGGCTGTAAAGCCAATTCTGGGAGGATATTAAATTGAGTGATTGTTTCCAGTGTGCTTGAGAACTCTTTCATCGTCACCCAGACAGACCCCTCAGCAGTTAACTGCCATGCTTGTCCATCGGGCGTCTGCAGCCATTCTTGCCCCCTCTCAGCCTGCACCCACTCTCGTCCGCTCGGGATCTGCAGCCAAACTCTCCCGCACTGGGTCTGCAGCCATTCTTGCCCGCCGGTAGTCCACAGCCACTCTCTCCCGTCTGGGGTCTGCAGCCAGTCTCTCCCATTGGTGGTCCACAGCCACTGTTGTCCGCCATAGGTCCACAACCACTGTCTCCCACTCGCGATTCGTAGCCATTCTCGTGCGCCCGGGGTCCACAGCCACTCTTGCCCATTCTCGGCCTCCAGCCAATCCTGGCCAGGCACGCTAAGCAGCCAGGATCGCGCACTCTGGGTTTTTAGCCACTCTCGCCCATCCGGGCTTTCCAGCCATCGTTGGCCACTGGCGCTCCACAGCCAGTTTCGCCCCATCACAGTCTGAAGCCACTCTTGCTGCGTCTTCGTCGGCCTATTTCGCCTAAACAAGGGCGCTGGCCCTGCATCTCTGTCCCGCCAAGGTTCCACATCTCTGTCCCACCAAGAATTTCCATTTCCATTTATCTTCCACCAATCCCTTCCAACCCGGGTCCGTAGCCAGTCTTTTCCCCCCTGGGTCCGCAGCCAGTCCTTTCCCCCCTGGGTCCGCAGCCAGTCCTTCCCCTCCTGAGTCCGTAGCCATAGATTCCCTTCTTGGGTATGCAGCCATGCCTGCCCATCCAGGGTGTCCAGCCAGCATTGTAGATCTGAACTATGATCTCC